AGTTTGCTTCTCAGCAGTGTAACAAAATATCTGAGATACCTTATAAAGAGAAAAGGTCTATGATGATTCACAGTTTTGGGAAGTTTCAGTCTCTGGTCAACTGGTCCTTTGCTTTTGAATCTGTGGCAGAGCAGTACCTTGTAGTGGAAGCACATGGCAGAGAAAGCCACTCATCCCTTGATGACCAAGAAGCAAAAGGAAAGTGACCAGGATCCCACTGTCCTGCCAAGGGTACATTCCCAGTGACCCAACTGCCACCAGGCCCCACCTCTTAAAAGCTCCTCCACCCTGACAGCACCATGACCTGGTGCCTAAATCTCTCATACTTCAGTGGCAAGCAGAAACACCACAACGACAGCCAGGATTTGGAAGCAGATGTATTTACATCAATGGGAACTGGTCAGGGTCATTTCCAGAATATCAGGCCCTGATCCCTGGTGGTCTAGGGTTTGTATGAGATATGCAAGCATGAAATACAGAGGCAGAATGGCTTGTCAATTGGGGATTGGATTATACAATGTACATCACAGTGACCAGCTATGCATCATAGTGACCAGCCTTTTCTAAGAGACAGGAGCAACTGGAACTGGGACAGGAACTATTACCTGGGCAACTAACAAACTGCAGTATACTGGGGGGGGAGCATTTTCTGCTACAGTAATTCTGCCTTTGGGGTTCTTTGCAGTGTCACAAGGTTAATAACAGTTTTGTTGGAAGTCCTTTTGTTGGCTGGGGCTGCTATCACAAACACTACAGACTGTATAGTTTGAAATCACAGACACTTACTGTCTCACAGCTCTGGAGAGTAGAAGTCTAAGATCCAGGGCAGTGCTGGTCTCTCCTGTGGCCTCTCTTCCAGCTTGCAGGTGGCCACTTTTTTGGTGTGTTCCAATTGTGGCTTTCCCTCTTTGTATGAGTGTCCTTAGTGTCTCTCTTTGACTGAATTTCCTTTTCATAGACAATGCCCAGTAAGATTGCACTGGAGCCACCTTCACGACCTTCTTTAACTTAGTCACCTCTTTAAAGACCCAGGCTCCAAATACAGTCATATTCTGATGGGCTGAGGATTATGACTTCAACACATAAATTTTGAGGGTGGACACAATTCAGCCCGTAACAGGCACTAAGAAAACATGCACATTAATTTTAAGATGAATTCTGTTTTTAGAAATGTTGAGGAAAAGCCAGGCCTGTTGGTGCATGCTTGTCATACTCTGGGTGACTGAGGAGGGAAGATCACAAACTTGAGCCTAGCGGGAGCAACTTGGCAACTTTGTGAGACTGTCTCAACCCTGGCATCAGAAAACAACAACAACAACAACAACAAAACAGCTGAGGATGTAGCTCAGTGCAAAGGCCTTGAGTTCAATCTCCAGTATCAGAAGAAGAAAGGAAAAAAGTTGAGAGAAGTAAGGCACCATATTTGTTAAATTTACCTACCTCTGTCTCCTTTTTCATACATTGTCTCACTGAAGTGGCTGTGATTATTCTATAGGTCATATTTAATATAAAATGTTGAAGTGACTGGTAAATAGAGAGTGGGACATAGCTCCAACATTTTTGTAAAATATAAATATACCTACAAGAGTAAGATTTTGTTTGGGGTTTCTTGGGCATCTAAATATGTTCACTGAAGTTGAACCACAATAGTTGGAACTCTCGGCTCTCAAACACATGTATAACAAGGGCTCCTTTGTACTTATTACTTGCAAAATAGTCCTCCTGGTACAGGGGTAGAGTCCTTCTTTCCCTGTGGTCCTTATTCTGTGGTGCTTCTAAGGTAGCTACTCCCACAGCAGTCAGTTAGGATCCTTAGCTGATGGAGACCACCACGAACTGGCTCTGAGCAGGATTTAAAAGTAATCAGTTGGCTTTGTATGTTTACTTGTGAGTCTGGCCCAGGCCCAGGTCCCTTGTCTGGAGATGAGCAGTGGATTCATAGAAAGTGAGACTCTATGAGTTACTGGTCTCAGCTGAGGCCTGTAGTGGCTGTGAGGCCGTGAAGCCTTAAAGGACAAGCAAGGCCCCAGCAGAGGACAGCTGGCTCCAACCCCAATTAACTAAATAGAGACTGTAACTGCAGGTGTCAACCTGGAGATAAGATAGTATCCTAGTTAGAATAATTTACTACTTAGGGAAGTCTTTGTGCTGACTCCCAAGGTCCTGCTCAGGCTCCCATGCTTTCCTCAGTATCCCCTTCCTTTGTCTGAAAACCAAGTAGATATGAGCCAACCAGAGAAGTTTTTTGTCTCAACTCCCAGAGACTCTCAAATTCCACTAGAGGGTTTTGATCCTCCTGGAGCCCTAAAATCATACCACTTCTCTCTTTTATTTAAGCCTTGACTATCCACTCATTCAGGAGACTGTTGGCCTGATCAGTCTGAGATACTTATGGTCCACCTGACCTATTGTGTTAGTCAGTCTTCTGTCACTATATCAAAATACCTGAGATAAAAAACTTATACAAACAAAGGGATTTTTTTTTTTTTTTGACTCACAGTTTCAGAGATTTCAGACCATGGTCACTTGACGACATTGCTTTTGGGCCCATCATAAAGCAGAACATCCTGGTAGGAGGAGAAAGTGGCGAAGTTGATCATCCCATTCAGTAGGAGGCAAAGGGAGAGACAGGAAAGGGCCAGGCTCCAGTATCTCCTTCAAACACACCCCAATGACCTCACTTCCTTCCACTGAGCTCCCACCTCCCAAAGTTTCCACCACCTTCCAATAGAACCAAGGGCTGGTGCCTGAGCCTTTTGAGCACACTCTGGATCCACACTCTAGCTCCTGTCTTGTGTCCTGGGACTTAGCTCATCTCAGCACTGACCCCAGCTCACTTTGCTCTGAGAGTGCCTTACCTCAACTTGAAATGTCCCTAGCTTCCTACTGGAGTTCTCCTAAACCCTGGATGGAAAACCTGCAAGACCCCAAGTGACACTCCTATATGCTTGTCTGGACATGGATGCCAAGGTGTCAGGGGTTGGGGCAGCAGGTAGGCAATTCTCAGGTGTACCCTATAGGTTGCTCTGGGATTCCCAGATGATTTTCTCTAGACATGGCTTGGTGGCCGACTTGATCACACATTCACACACTGAGTTTTCCTTCTTCTATCCTTCTTGCTCTCTATCCTTTTTTTTCCAAATAAACCACCTGCTGTGCCGTTGGATAAATACAGACTAAGGCAAGTGGGGTCTCCTAATGAGCCAAGTCTGAGTCCTGGGTCTTCAGCTGGGGCACCTGAAAAGGAGAGAGATGGGATGGAGTGTTCTAGAGAAAGTGAAGAAGGTGCAGGTCTCAAGGAAAAGGGGTACCACTGCCCCAGCAGAGGGGAAATAACCTGCATGGACCAAGGTATGGGGGTGGGAGTTAGAGAGAGAATTTCCCACTATTCTTTTAAGGCCTTGTGTAACGGTGGAACCAGACTGCCAGGAATTTGTCTTACTAAAGGGTAAGACAGGAAATTTACCCACAATTTCCTCCAGTGTTACTGAGTCATCCCTCCACATTCCATCCATCAACTTCAACGTGTACAGAACAGCTACCTTTCCCAGGCTCTTCATCCTCATCCCACACCTGTACAGGAGGTTGCCATGACCCATCACAGAGATGGGAAACCAAGGCCAAATGATGAGCTGATCTGCCAGAGCCCTAACAGAAAGTCTTGCAGAGTTTGGGATTATCCTTTGGGCTCCCTGCCCACTGTGACTGGGCCCCACCTTTTATGGGAACCACCCCAGGGAAGGTGGTTTGCTAGGTTCCTGGAAGGCAGAGGTTTGCATGTGCATGCTTGGTGCTGGGGCATTCCTAGGAGTGCGGGGGAAGGTTGCAGTGGCCGATCTAAGAAAGGGAGAGGAGAGAAGCCTCATAGCAGTGGCTTGGAATTATGTTGAGTCATTGTTACCATCTTCCCGTGACAGGATTTATCCCCTGCAGTAGAAGAGCTTTTGACTCGATCTACAAGCACCATGGTGCAGGATTGAACTTATCACTCTTCAGATGTGAGTCAGGCTCATGTCTTGTTCTTCAAAAGACCAGTGTGTAGTCAAATGCAAAGACAAACAGCAAAGCAAACAAACAAAAAAACCCCAAAACGCAATGTGGACATGTTGTTGTGAGAAAATAGGATTCGCAAGAGAATTTGTACCCACTTATGAGTTCCACTGAAATATAGACAAGAGCACATTTCCATTTAGTTTCTTTTTCTCTTAGGTTGGTTCTGGTTGACTTTTAGCCTTGGGCCCCTACTGAGTATGGGGATAGTAACATACTTAGCGTTTGCTAATGACATTCACATACATGACTGAGATCCTTGTGCCACAATCACCCTCTTTACTGATGAACAAGCCGGAGCCTAGAGGCATGAGGTCATCTGAGCATCACCAGGCAAGCTGAACAAGAAAACCACTATCTGGATTCCACAGCATCTAGGTCCAAAGCCTGTGCTGTCTCTGCAGCGCAGAGCCTCTGGGGCTGCTTAACTGGACACAGTCTCGCTTCAGCTGAGTCAAAGTCACACGGCCACATTCACAGTCCTCGTCCACAATGACTCCAAATCGTGGGCTTGCCATTCTTTTAAGTGTATTTTTCCTATTTTTTTTTTTTTATTATAGATGTCAGATTTTCCTCCTTTTGCTACAAGTTATCCTTGGATAACTTTAAATACCTGGAGGAGGGGAAACATGGTAAATCTGAGTCTTTTATTGATTCTCCTAGAGACATTCTCGGGATTTTACTGCTCTGATCTCATGCACGGCACTCTGTTGGGAACTTTCTGGGGATGTCAGAGAACGAGTAGCAGAGATTTGGAGGACAACTGTGGGTGTGACACTTTTAAAAGATAGATAGCTTCCCCAGAACTTTCCCCAAATCTCTTGAGGGCCACTAGGAAAACAGTGTTTGGAAAGACCCAAAGGTCCTGAGCCAGTGAGTGGGTCCGCGGAATCAGATGCTGAATGTGAAGTGTGGGGCCTCCTTAACCCATTTTTCTGTCTCTATTGCAGTTTTTGTGCATGCTGAAGAGTGACAAACGATTAAACATTCCATGACAAGAGAGGTCCAGACAAGCTCCTTGAATATGTTTAAAAGAAAAATTCTAAAAGAAGCAGAAACCTGGTGTGGTGGATTGACAGCTGGTGGTCAACTTGTGACACCCAGCTGAACTGAGTCAGCATGGTGCTGGGTGTGGAGGGCCCACCTGAGGATTGTTGCCAACAGCATACAAAGAGAACCGGAGGGGAAGATGGTGTGCTGTTGACTCTCCTGGAGAAGCTTGTCACGCTGGCTTTCCTGATATGACCTCAGCTGTTCTCATCATCGGAGGAGCTCGGGACCTCGCTGTTGCTGCCGTTCTTTCTGGGGGAGCTCTGATCTTTACTTTGAGCACTGCTTCCTGGCTCCAGTGCAGATTCCTCAGCCTGTGAGCACAGATCCTTCATCCTTCTGGTGCAGACTTTCTAGCTTCCACTACTGATCCTTGGGTCCTCCCAGAGGAGAACCTTGATACAGACTTGCATGAGACAATGTCATTAGCTCTAGGCCTGCAGTTGGACTTGTAGGGGGCATTGCCATGGGCTCTAGGTCTTCAGCTGGACTCAGGTAGGATACAGCTGTAGGATCTAGGCCCTCCGCTGGATTCTTGGGTCTCTAGTATGTGGACAGATCTCCCACCCTCTTGCATTTAACTCTTTGGGTGACTATTATAAAATATTCCTATAAATTATGTGTCCTATGTTAAATCCTTTCCCTTGCAAACCCTGACTCCAGGGTGTCTGTATGTGTGTATGTGTCTGCATTTTCCCTTTCTTACTCTTTCACTGAATATCAGCGCGTGTTACACGGACTGAGCTTGAGAGTCCCTGAAGCATGGTGTGGTCATCCTCATGTCTGAAGCCTCCATGGCCATCAGTTTGTTTCCAATGTATTTGTGGAAAAGTATGCAAACCATCTTGCCATTAAACTATTTTTGAAATCTTGTGGGAGCCTGCCAATATTTTTCCAAGTTAGCTAAGAAACTCTCTTGCTCATGAGAGAAGCTCCCCTACTGTAAGGCTGTTTCTGGATATATTTTTTTTTTTTTTTTTTTTTAAGCAGGAAGGATTTTTTTTTTTTTTTTTTTTTGGTTTTTCTCCGGTACCGGGAA